ATATTATAAAATATTTATTATATATATATATAATATATAACTCAGTGGGAAAACCCAGGGGATTTTCAGATGAGTTTGGGTCTGCAGAGCTTGCAAGGGTACAGGGAGCAAGTGTAGCAAGTTGACTGCCTCCCAGTCATTTCTAAGAAAGAAAGACTCGATTCATGTAATTCCTTATCCTCCCTCTTCCTTCTGCCTCTTGCTCTCCTACTGCAGCCCGTTCACACGGAGGAGGTCGTAGAGATCCTTTCTGTTGTTTCTTTGTTCTGACCACACCCCAAACACTGAGACAGCAACCATAGAAATTAATTGGCCAACTAATATATATAGAAAAAATTAGCTGGGCATGGTGGCACATGCCTATAGTCCCAGCTACTCGGGAGGCTGAGGCAGGAGGATTGCTTGAGCCCAGGAGTTTGCGGTTGCTGTGAGCTAGGCTGACGCCACAACACTCACTTTAGCCTGGGCAACAAAGCCAGACTCTGTCTCAAAAAAAAAGAGGGTTACAAATACCTTTATGGTTAAACCTTTGCTTTTTTTTTGTTTTTCTTGAGACAGAGTCTCAGTCTTTTGCCTCGGCTAGAGTGCCATGGCATTAGCCTAGTTCACAGCAATCTCAAACTGTTGGCTCAAGCGATCCTCCTGCCTTAACCTCCCAAGTAGCTGGGACTACAGGAACGTGCCACCTTGCCTGGCTAATTTTTTCTATTTTTAGTTGTTTGGCTAATTTCTTTCTATTTATAGTAGAGGCAGGGTCTCACTCTTAGGCTGGTCTAGAACTCCTGAGCTCAAGCAATCCTCCCGCCTCGGCCTCACAAAGTGCTTGGATTACAGACGTGAGCCACCATGCCCAGCCAAAGCTTTGCTTTTTACACACAACAAAATTTGCATTTTCAAGGTGCCTTCCCTTTCAGTAGCCTTATCAACCCCATCGTAGGTGGAGGCAGAAGTGAGATGGGGTAAAATGTAGTGAGATTCAGACCTATGGTCTGAGAGGCAGGATAATTTGCTAGCTAAAAGCAGACGCTAAAGCCCCTCATCTGGAACCTTCTTCTCTAGCTGACTTATGGGGGCCAATGAACATTACCTTCTCTTGCCTATTAGGGGCAGGCCCATGTCAGAAACAGGTTCAAGACTGTCTAGGTCTACAAACACCAAAGGGACTTATTCAGAAATCCATCAGTTAGATCAACTGACATTATTTTAGCACTTCTAATGTGCCAGGAAATTTCCTCTCCTAGCTCTTACTTCCCCAAATGACAGTTTGCTCTTTGTTCAGTGACCTGTGGAAAAGCTTGACTATGCATTTCAAAGGGCATCAGAGAAGACGCCCCAGTGGCCAGTCAGCATTCTGAGAACTCCCCCGTTTTGTTTAGTGCGGCACAGTGGAAAGTGCATGAAATGGGGAGAGAGAAGTCTTGGACTTTAGTAACAGCTACTCTTGTCACGTGCGACTACAGTCCAGTCACTTAACCTCTGTGAATCCTTTTCCTTCCCTGCAAAATGCAGATGACAATATCAGCTTTGTCTACCTACACAGGGTTGAGAAAATCAATGAGATGCTAGAAGTGAAAGAACTTTGTAAATTCTTTATATACCCACATACAAGCGATGAGAATCGGTACATATATATATCACATTTCTTTTTTTTTTTTTGAGACAGAGAGTCGCTTTGTTGCCCAGGCTAGAGTGAGTGCCCGTGGCGTCAGCCTAGCTCACAGCAACCTCAAACTCCTGGGCTCAAGCAATCCTGCTGCCTCAGCCTCCTGAGTTAGCTGGGACTACAGGCATGCGCCACCGATGCCCGGCTAAATTTTCTTATATATATTAGTTGGCAATTATTTCTTCTATTTTAGTAGATACGGGTCTCACTCTTCTCAGGCTGATTTTGAACTCCTGACCTTGAGCATCCACCCGCCTCGCCTCCCAGAGTGCTAGGATTACAGCGTGAGCCCCCGAGCCCGCTATATATCACTTTTCTAACTATGGAACTGTGAGTGTGTGGTATCTTTATTTGAATAGATAATTTGGTCAAAAAGCTTGCCAAATTTACTTTCCCTTCAACAGGGTTATGGAAATGCCAACATAGATATTATTAAACTTAAAAAAGAAAAAAACAATTTGATGGGTTAAAAAAGGGAGGGCTACACGGGCTGGGCGCGGTGGCTCACAACTGTAATCCTAGCTGTCTGGAAGGCTGAGGCGGGCAGATTGCTCCAGGTCAGGAGTTTGAAACCAACCTGAGCAAGAGCGAGACCCCGTCTCTACTATAAATAAGAATTGCTCTGGAATATTTTTGAGAAAATGATTTCAATGATTATATAAATCTAACACATAATGTACCCTA